TGTTGATTGGGTAGTTTTGGAGAGTGTTTGGTTGGATGGGGGAGATATGTGTTTTGTTGATATTGGGGATATGGGGGAGAGGGTGGATGCAAGAATCACCAGGATTCTTTGTGATACTCACAAGCACTGCCAAAGGGGTTGTATCAGTTACAACCCCCTGTGGTAAAGTTGGCTGGATGCATCGGTGGGTCTGGCCAACATAAAATTGGTCTCCCAGACCAATTTTACATTGGTGCCCTCTGTTTGTCTTTACCACGGGGGCTGTAACCAATACAACCCAGTGAAGGTTGAGTTGCTATCCTGATGCTATATTTGGTATTGGGATAGAAGCCAAGAGTCAGGTTGCCACAAATGTTGAGTGTTTAGCAGCCCCAGTGAAGCTGCTAAATTGAGTTTGGACTGCTATAATTGGTTTATCAGCACAGTTTAGAAGCCGTAGTGGAGATGGTCTTACAATCATCATTGGATCAATTCCAACACAGAGAGCTATGTCATCAGCAAACTAGTCTGCATTTGGACTATGAAACTAACTTATACATGTAACATGTATATTGGGGGAGGGGGCTCTGTGGTAGTGTGAGATGAACTCTAATCACAGCTTTTATTTTTTTAAAAAAAAACATCTTTGATTGTAAAATAAAATCTTACAAATTTTCAATATTCTTTTACTGAGTCAAAAAGACCATGAAAACCAAGACAACAAACCACAAACTATACAGTTATAGCTTGTTCAAAAAAGAAAAAAAGGAAAACAAAATGTGAGTGTGTTGGAATTGAGCCAATGATGATCATAAGTTTGTTTGCCAAAAGAGGAGATGAACAGAGATGATACATTGTTTACACAAGGAAAGAGGGATGAGAAGGGTTGGGAAGCGAGAGATGGACGGGTCAAAAGGAGTCTGTCTAGTCCCGTTGGTTGAATTTCAAAGCAGGAAGAGGGGGAGGAGGAGGCGAAGAGGTCAATAAGGCATGAGTTTTGTCCGCTCGTCGAACTCGCGTTGCTCGCCCGAATCGAGGTCTTCCTCACCCAGAACGCGCGGCAGACGATCGACTTCGGCATTCTGGAGCCTCGCAAGCACCGAGCGATCTCTGATCCGCACGCACTTCTCATCGACCAGGCGGACCATCCGGTTCAGCTCCACAGCTCGACCCGCGCTCGTTTCGTACGCGCCCGCGAACCGGCTGGTGAAAGGGAGCAAGTATAACTCTGCAATTTAGATTTAACCAAAAAGAAGAATAGTCACCATTAATCTGACTTGGCTCATAAGGAGACATCACAGCTGGAATGAATTTAGTTTGTTAGCTACCTTTCGCCCATGGACAATGTGCCACAGAGCGTGTAACCAAGGACCGAGCTCTGACGTAGTTTTCGTTTCTGAGTTCGAACTCAATATACAGTACCCACACTTGCAAACAAGACCCAATACTACAAAAAAAAAACATACCATGAATATTGATGAAACTAGCATGTTTTTCTTTTTTTTTTAAAAAATAGAGAAAGTCAAAAGAACCTTTGGTTGGTCAAAGCCCGTTCAAATAGACCACGAACGGCCGCTTGGTTGTAGGTAGAAGAATTGAGGTGGAGTTCGACCCAGATAGCGAACAGCCAACGATTGACAGTGACAAGAGTCGGAATCTTGAGGAGAATGGCATCGAGGAGTCTTCGGGTCTGATTCTCGATCTTCATCTTCGATTCGTTGAAGGCGAAGAGGGCGAGAAAGACCGAGTTGTTAGGGAACTTGACGATCGCCCGTTGGAGGGTGGCTCGGATCTCGATCGGCTTGAACCGTTGATGATCCTGGATCTGCTGGTAGATCAAGCGACAGTAATTGAGCCAGAGCTCTTCCTCTTCGGCTGGACTATCCAAACTTTCTAAGGCTTTCAAGCTCCGTTCGTAGGCTTCACATCCAGCCGGGAAACCCTCAGTGAGATATTGGAACGTTCCATAGCCTACCGCAGCCGATACTCGACAGCGTAATAGTGAAAGTGGTAGGTCGTCTTGAAAGGAGCCTGCAAGTTGACCAATGAATGCCTTGTTTGTCCCATATTTGATGGTTCACGCAAAAACGGTTAGTGAGGGACAAGAAACATGGATTATCCAGACGTACTCACGCGTCGAACACGAAGCAACAAGGCGGGAGACCTGGACTGGGAAGTATTGCGGACGAGCTCTAGCGTTCCGGAACCCAAGGTCAGCCAACGCAGTTTTTTGGTAACAATGAAAAGGTTGAGCTAGGCGGAGAAGTGAATTACCAGATGGACTCTCGTCCAGACAATTCACAGTTCGGGCCAAAATACTGATGACTAATCGGATGTGGCCGAGTTGAAACTCCATTTCAGCCCATGAATACCACAAGGACATGAGCCCTTCAGCACCCTGCTCGGACATCTCCAGTGTTTTCACATACACATCCCTTGCCTGTTTAGGCTTTCCCTGTAACAGACAGAGTCTAGCATATGCATCCCAGAGAACAAAGTTTCGTTGGTCAAGACTCAAGGATTGTTTGGCCAGCTTCACAGCTGATGAGACGTCTACCCGCGCTTCAAACGAAAGTTCGCATAGTTTGAAGTACGTATCCTGCTTGAGCATCCCAGTGGTTTTTAAGGCTTGGAAGGAATTCCTGATGAAGTTTATGGAGTCTTTGGGCGGTTCAAAGTTGACAAACCAACGGGACGGATCAGCAAAGAGCTGTCTGATATCGCAAGGAAATATTCGGAAGGGGATCATTTGTGGATTTTTAATCCCCGATGAACGCTCGGTAGGTCCGTAGGGATCGAACGAAAGTTTTTTTTCTAACTGAGGCCAAAATGTCGATTGCCGTTCGGGGACATCAATCAGCTCAGTCGATAAAAACGGGTCAGTGAAGAAGGGGACGTTGGTATCGATGTCCGGTGGGGGAATCGAAACTCCAACAAAAGAGAGAAACGAGTAGAGCAAGGCTTGTAGCGAGTCATCGGTTGATAGTAGAAAGAGTAAATTTCGGATATCATCAAACAACACACAACCGAATGGATCATCATTATCCTGTAGATCAGTCGTTCGAAGTGGTCGGCGAGCCTTCATCTCTTGAACTTGCCATCTATTGAATATCTCCTCCGTTGGATTGGGCTCGAGTTCCTTGGATTCATTGGGTAAAGTTTGTCCTGGTTGAGGCTCTAATTGCTCAAATTCCAAGTTCATGTTCATCCAACCTTTCGCCCCATCTTCTCCTATCCTAGGAACCTCGGAATCCCAGAAAGTCTCAAGGTCATCCGCGAGCTCGTTCAGTGATTCAACCTTTTGACGAGGTTTGAAGAAGTTAAGTTCCATGATCGCCTGGAATGCCGCTGTTGCCCTTTCGTTGTATCCTGAGAGATCAATTCATGATTTAGAAAGCAGTAAAAAGGAGGGGGTTGGCTTTTGGATGAACAGACCTGCTTGTTTGAGCATGACACAGCATCGGTGAAATAGATAGACGATGCTTTGCTCGAATAGGGTACGCTCTGGATGGATCGTAGATAGGGAAGTATAAGATTAGCAAACAGCTAGAAGGTAAATCCGAGGGATAAATCAAGTCACCCTTGTCAGGAGTATTGGAGTTTTCCGATCGCCTGACCAGTCTATCGATCAATTCTTCGTAGACTTCTATCATCCCCAAAACATTCATGCTTCCGGCCTCGGTTTGCTTCCAATCAACATAGGCAATCCACAGACCGGTGACCGCGGGGTGTGCTTCCAACATCTTCTGCCATTCTTTGGCCAGATCGAGATCAGGCTGGTCGCAGTATGCTTTCATGTAGGCAAGTAGTAACTGTTCGTTGTTCTGATTAGCCGGCTCGCGCAGAGCTCGCTTGAGGTAGGCGATCTTCAAATCACTCGTGCCCTGTATGTGCCGACTGATTGCCTCCTGATCGGCATCTGTTACTCGGGCCCTCAACCCAACCAGTCCGAGCTCCTTCATCTCATCCTGTAAACTGACCAGAGCCTGAATTTTAAGGGCAAGATGTCAGTTCTCTTGTGTTGTTAAGGGTCTATCGACTTTCTGAATACGCAACTAGCCAAGCCTCGACATCCTCCGGATGATCGGTGGTCCTCCTCTCGAGCTCCCCCTTGCGATGGTTGAGCCGGTCCAAGAAAGATTCGCCACCATCTTCCTCTGGAGGTACGTAATCCTCCAAGTCCTCCTCCTCCGATTCAGGTTCTCCGTAGAGATTAATCCCTACTGGGATACGCTCTTGCTCCACTCCTGGGGCGGGTCGGTCCGATTCGAGCAGGGGGATGAACGGAATTGAAGGTCCATCCCCCATCTTCTCTCCTCCCCCGTGGGGCAGTCTTGAAAGTGAGATCCTCTTGAGGTTCTTGTCGTTGAGGAGCTGCAGGACGGCTGGATCGGAGATGGAGACCGGCTGGGAGGCGGCCGAGATGAGTAAGCCATCATTCATTTATCAGTCAATTTGATTGCTGTCGAGGATCGGCAGGATTACAGTGAAGAGCAATCTGACCTTGGTGCGTCCCTCAGTGCTGAGCTTCAAGCCATCCCCTCTGTAAGCGCTGGAGAACACGATTCGGAGATGAGGGTCGAGACCGAGGACCCGGCCAGCTGTGATAATATATAAATATCTATCAGAGTTGATTGAAGTGGGGTTAATTCGTGGAATCTGGAGAGATTGAGATAACCTGCGGCTCGTCTGTAGCGTGGTACTTTGCCTCTGTCCGGTCTACCATGGTGCAGGTTGAAGTTGTCCTCTCTGAGGTCGATGATGAAGATGATCTTGCCAAGCTGGTCTCGAAACTGGTTCGAGTCGAGCTTGGGTTGGATGGTTGATGTGGCTGATAGGCCTGGTAGGGCTCGGAGTGCAGGGGGAGTGATAGCCTGGAGCTTCTTCTTAGCCTTCTTGTCCTTTCTAACTGGTGAATCTTGTCGAGATTGATGATCGCTGCGTCTTTCTTTCCTTCGCCTATTGCTGCCCTGGATTTGAGCTTGGTGATCAGGTGACTCTTGGGAATTTCGCTGATGCGCTGAGTCGATTTGATGACTGAGTGAGTTGAGGAATTGGTCAGCTTGGTCGAGGGTTGAGTGATCGGTGGTGATTCTCTGCTTCGTCCGTCTCCTCGTACTACTACTACGACTGCTATCCTCGTTGTCTTCATTGGTTCTCCTCTTGCGACGGTTCTTAGTGACTGCCTCTGGTTCGGGAAAGGAGTCGAAGGAAGGGATGGCCACCACTGGCTTGTTTTCTGATGGTGAGTGGGTTGGAGAGGGAAACGAGTCGAACGAAGGCACAGTCGTCATCCTGGCCTGCTGCTGGTATTTATATATCGAAAGTTGAACAGCAGACGGCCGCATACATCCCAGAGCTTGAACCATAAAGTCCCCTCCTGCTGCGGAACTTGGGGCGCTCGGAGGGACTGTGCAATTGCGTCCAATTGACCCAAAGAGGCGTGGCAAGACTTGATGGTTTTGAATCCAAAGCAGATTCCCCCTCACTCTCTACTGTTGTGGTTTTCATAGAACGAGGATCAATCTTATATGGGATGTACTACAGGACTTCAGAGCAGGATAAATTGTTCTTCTACTGTTTTGATAAAATGAAACAAAAGAAATGCAGTTTTTGTTAAAGATGATTATTTTGTGCAAAGACAGTGGCAGCTTGGATGGCATTATGGGTAGCTGTAAAGAACAAAGTGTTCCAAGTGATAAACCAGGATTTGGAATAAACTTGAGAAGAAACTCCATTGACGTCTGGGAATAACGGTGCAATGTAAAGTTCTACAAGAGGCACCAGAGATCGAAAACAAGTCGAGAGGGATTGGATATCTCGAATGACGTAGTAGCTATCGAGGGCCGGTGGATCGTCATCAACTTCTTGCAAGTGAGACACCAATTGCGAGAGAGCGCTTCTGAATTGTTCAGATGATATTTGCAAAGAATATAGTTGATGAGAAGACATTTCTGTAAATGAGGGCAGCTGTTTTCTGCCCATTCGCTGATATCTTGATAACTTGTCAAAAAAAAGGTTCGGTAATTTGATGATTGGTGTTGTTGATCTGACGAGCTGAGTGGCTGCTTGGCTCCTGGGAGGGGCAAATGCTGGATGGGTCAGGTGGAAATACGTGTTGTCAGCCGAGACATTGTCAAGGCTTCTTGATGAATCTTCCCAAGCATCCAGGATAATCTGTAACTCAGAGCCTTTGAGCCATTTAATGGTACAATCGAATGCCGAATCGAGATAAGGTCGACTCTTCAGGGTCGTTGGCCGGGCCTTCCATCCTGGGAGCTTGAGTTCTTCAATAATCTTACGGGAGGCATAAAGGAAGTCGCTGATGTTAAGTTCTAATCTTCCTCGAATACAGTCGACCAGGCCGTCTAATCTGTAGCATTTGAACTCTTCGAAATGCTGATCGTTCGTTGGGCTGGGTTGAGGTACGTTTCCAGGAATGATTTCTTGAATGGCACGAATGACTTGATCCAAAATCTGATGAAGATTCGCTTGGATTTCTAAAACACGCTGGATTTTGGGTCTCGGGTCTTTGCGCAATTCAATTAGGTCATCCAGATCTTCTGCGATCCTATTGAAATGTTGCTGTAGTAGAGGTAGTGTGAGCGTCTAAAAGTTCAAAGCCCTTGATGGCCAAGTCTATATAGAGGTCGAGGGAGTCAGTTGATGCTTTTCAACGTTCGGACCGATTCAATTTCTGTGAACATCATACTTCATGCGTACCTGCTTGGTGCCAATCACATTGCTTCAAGTCCAGTGTATCCGGGTAGTCATATGGGTTGAACATCTCCTTTTACAAGTTTCGTGTCTTGGGTCGATTGACGGTGACCAACCTCGACAGGCCTATGCACCTGACCTGAAGTTTCCCGACTTGGAGGAACTCCCAGACCCCGGTCTACCCCGTGTCAGTGACCGCGCAGCATAGCGTAGCAGCCCCTCGGGGATGGCCCCTTGTTTATTCAGCCAGAAGTGCAATCTTACATATACACAATATGCAAAAGTTTAGGGCAGAGACGATGATCCTGTGAGAGTATGTAGACAAAAATTGTTAAAATAGCCAGAGATAGCCCTCTTGGTTGTTCTTTTTTTCTGTGTTCTCTCAAATACTGATGGCTGCACCTGTGTCAAAAAGTTAACATCTCTGCCTAGCAATTATTGGTTCCACTGTTTCTTAATTGTAAACTGCAGGAGTGCGTTTTTCTTATTGTTCCTTGGTAGGCCTTTCATTTTCTTGAGTGTGTTGCTTCGAACTTATCAAAAGTCCGCGTCCCTGCTGCGGCGTGGGGCACTGTAGCCGCTCGTCGAGTGTGCATGCACTGAGGACTCTCCCGCAGAGAGAGGACTTATGCCGAGGGGAGCATGATGCCGTGAGGCTATGATCCATTTTTGGTGGTGAAGGTTCTCATTCCACCATAGCACCATGAATTTTAACCTAGTTTTTTTGTCCTCGTAATCAATGAAGCTTAGATATATTCTTGTTATTCCTGCCAACTCAGAATTTGTACCTCTTATCCCCATCATGCCCGATTAAGCTTCCCAAATTTTGGGTATTGCAATTTTAATCTTGCCACTTATTGGCATAAACCTTTTTTTCCTTTTGCTCTTTTTTTCATAACCCTCCTCTTTTTTTCAACCTCTTGGACTTCTGACATAACACTCGCTTATAACAATCGGTTTTTTTTTCACTTTTCGACCGTTATTGCTTCATCCGGCCCGGTTCCACCTACATCAAACCCTCCTGAAGACTCGCCTCCAAGCCATCTGGCCATTCGTTATCGATTCATCCATCCGATTTGCCTCCAAGCCATCTGGCCATTCGTTATTGATTCATCCATCCGAAGTCCACTGAAACCTCCCAAGGACACACCTGCAAGCGAACGGCCCTTCGTTATCGCTTCGCTTCATCCTGTTGGATTGTCAACCCTCGCTTGACTCCTGTAGAAAGGGCAATAGTGAGTCACACAATCGTGATGACTCATCCTTTGAAATCAAAATCAAAATTTGTTCTTTTTCTAGGCTCGAGTGAGCTCCCAGTTAGCAAGCGATTATATTTCATCGATAACCAGATCAATAGTCAAGATAAGATCGGTTTTTTTGTTGTTCTTTTTCTTCTTTTTGTTTTCTCTGTCGATCTCTTGACCTGTTTTTCGTTTTCTTCTTTTTTTTTTCTCTGTCGATCTCTCGCTGTTGACCCCTTTCTCTCGATCTCTCACCGTTATTCTCTTTGTTATCTCATCCGTTCTATTATATGTTACTAGTGTCTAGGGGCGGCTTCGCCGCCATTGCTCCATGCATCAGCTACCAGATAACATAGCGATAACAAATTTTTTTGGTAAAAAACCGAACAGACAGAAACGTCGATCAGATGCTGTCGTACAGCTGGGGGAGAGTAGCGAGAGTGGAAAAAATTAGAGCAATTTTTAAATTGAAAAAGAAATAACGCTACGGTTATTCTGGACATAGCCTCATGCAGACTTGTCTTGGTCAGGCATAAGCCCCGCCTGCACCTCACGCCTACGGGTGCTCGCGGGCTTTGTTACGCTCGGTGTTGCTTAGGTCTGGAGATGTAGCAAGGTTGCTTGCAGAAAGAAAGTGTGAGGTGAAGTGATTAAAATGGGACTTCAGTTTGGTGCGCTGCGCTCCGTATGGGAGCAGCTGTGTTGCGCACAGACCTAACCCACCCCGCGCCCGCCTTTCAACTCAACTCGTCCACACGCCAGCAGCAAAACAACGAAGACAGACACTTGCATCTTCATAATCGGCCCAGAAAAACGGAAACCTATTTCGAAAACACTCAAGCAACGTAGCTACGCCATGCCAAAGCAACGTAGCTACGCCATGCCAAGGCTTTCCTCCAAACAGTCTGGCCCAGGTAAGATATATATCGTTGAATACACTCAAACTCTTATCAAAAACTTGGAATCTGAATCGATCGGGTCTAATTCTTCATTTGCCCACAAATCAGACTCCAAGAAACCCAAAAAGGTGGTGATCAGCGAAATCGAGCAACTAGCCAGCAATCCGTCGATCTCCTCGCAACTGCCAGCCGTTCCGTTGAAGAGTGCAATGAAGAAAAAAGTGCCACAGAAGACCGAGAGTAAGAAGGCAGAAAAAGCAGCGGAGGAATCAGAGGAAGAACCTTCGAGCAGTCCAGCCAGCGAGAACGATGTAGTGCAACTGAATGTCTTTGACGATGACGAGTCGGACGATGACAGCTCTGATGACGATGACGATGATGATGATGATGATGGCGATGACAACGATTCAAGTGAAGAGGAATCCAACCAATCATCAGATGATGATTCAAAAGCTCAGCCTAGCTCAAAGAATCAGCCTACACCGAATCGTAAATCTAAGCGGAAGGTTTGCCATATCCTTCTCCCATACACATAGCTACCAGAAGGAATAGGTTGTACTGATCAAAGCCGCTGGATCTGTGATTTTGGTTTATTTTTTGCCAGGCAGCCGAAGAGCAGGCTGGAGTGGTATACCTTGGAAGAATTCCACAAGGTTTCTATGAAGACGAAATGAGGGCATACTTCAGCCAATTTGGAGAAGTACTTCGGTTGAGACTATCGAGATGCAAACGGACAGGGAAACCGAAACACTACGGATTTATCGAGTTCAAGCACCTCGAAGTCGCTCAAATCGTCGCCGAGACCATCCACAATTATCTTCTTTGTGGAAAATTGCTTCAATGTAAAGTGCTCGAGAAGGATCAAATTCATCCTAAACTCTGGGTGGGTAGTGGGAAAAAGTTCAGGAAGGATTGCAAGTTGAGACTGGACCGGGAAAAACGCAATCAGGTTAGCTGGCCTCCTTGCCCCCTTTCTTGTGACTCTTCCCATCTCTTGATTCCCTACAATTTTCCTGATCTGTGAACTCGTTCCCTCGGACATCTCCCATCTTGCGCTTTAAGGCCAAAACTCTACCTCAACGAAATGTTATCTCGGACCGATTGATCAAGCAAGAGCAGCTGAAACGCAAACGATTAGCCGAGCTAGGGATCGACTATAACTTTGAAGGTTACACATCGCCTGCCAAGCCTCAAGTCGAGACCGATCCAACCCCAGAAAACAAACCCAAAAAAAGCAAGAAGGCTTCACTCCCAAGCGCCGAAAGTGGTCGTGCGAAGAAGAAGAATTGAGCCACATTTGCCAGGAGTCTTTTTTTTCTACATCGCTTTCTGTTGCCCCCCCCCTCCTCATAGTTTTTTTTCTTTTTCTTGATAGTGCATCACGCTAGCCAAACAGTATGGTGCTTTTCTTTTCCTTATCCTTCACTTCTCATCTCCGGTTGTACTGAAGCTTCGAACGGAAGCAATAAAAAAATGCCCAGGAAGCCTGATATTCCATTACGTTGCACACTCTGACTGACATTCTCAATTAATAACAAGGGCCCGTTTTGGACCCTTCTGACTGCCCTCCCCACCAGAGATACATGAAATAAAATCCAGAGCACATGAAGTAGAATTCACTTGAGCCCCATCATTTGGATGAGAAAATACTACCTGTTGTGTCCTGGGGCCCTTGTAAATATTCAGGATTGTGAGCAATTCAAGATCAAAGAGCACCATCTGGAAGATCTTTATATGTAAACACGTCTGGAAGTGACACATGTGCATGAGGTTGGCAACCAAATCCAGGCTCTAATTTTGATCTGATGTCACCAGGTAGACATCCATCTTGACAAGCTCTGAAATAGTTGTACATGAGCAGAGACAAAACTTCACTGTTCACTATTAGATCACACTTCACCTTTTCAAAGACAGTTCAGCTTATATTCCCATACAGTCAAGTTACCCAATACTGTGACGTTGAGGTTTAGTGCATGTGATACCAGAAAAAAAAAACATCAAGCCTGTTTTAAACACATAGATTTCATTTTGGTTTGAATTGACCAAGAAAAATATGAAAAGCAAATCATTAAAATTGTTTGTGTAGACAGTACATATGCCATTTGAGATTCAGGGGGAACTTTAAAGGTTAACAAAACAGCTCAAGGAGTTTTGGCGTGTATAACTTTCTACTTTTAAGTGTCCATTCAAAAACAAAATTTGTGCCTGTGAAGTTGTAAACATTTGGGACCTGTGGTGATTGGGCTGGGGCATTCATTCCGCATGTCATAAACCCCAAAAGAATAAAACATTGGCTGGGTCCTCTGTATTGAAAAAAAAATCCAAAATGTTGACATTGAACCTCTGTACTTCAGTTTTGATCATGGGGAAAAAAAATCTTTTGACATCTTTAGAAACATCAACAATGTGGTCAAAAAGGATTCTTTTACCATTCGAAAGCCTTTTTCTAAAAATTGGTTTTCATAGACTGGGAATCCAGTTGCACAGTTGTTCCAGATTTTTCCAGATTCATTGATAATATATGGGCTCAGCTGAACTCTGATTTATTAAAAAAATACAAGTAACAAACTGAATCTAACTTATCAAAATGGGGGGGTTCATGATTGAACTTGAAGGCCATTTTAAGGTGTTTCTGATCATAAATTTTATAATTTTTTTGTGATGTACAGAAAGTTCAGAAATTCTTAAATGGGAAAGCCCCAAAAAGCTTATGAAATGCTGCTCAACCACACCTTAAAACTGGCTCTAAAGTTCAATTGTGAACCCCCTTAAGGATATATACAAGGACAAATCAGAATATGAGTGGTGAAAATACATCAGGACTAATCTTATTAAAGAAGTTACAGTAAATAGAAAATGGTAGCATGATGGTTCTGACCAGCGCTCTGCAATTTGAATCTTGAAAAGCCCAGTATAAATCAGACCAAGCCCTCTCCTTCTCCTATAGTTCCAAGAATAATGTGACTAAAGGAAAAGATGAGTTTTTTGTCACAAAAAAGCCAGTAAAAGACAGGAAAAATGAGGTCAAGAGAAAGACATCACACATACCATGATTTTCGGATTTTATCTAGTTGCACAAGTACACCGTTTGTACTTAGGAGGTATGTCCCTGATTGCAAGCACAAAGAAACAAAGGAAGAGACACTTCTCAGTCGGATCCAATGAAAAAAGAATTCAGATTGGTTCTTCTCACAATATCGGGTCAATTCGTCATCCTGGAGGAGGGCAATCCCGCCGGGGGACTGGACCAAGCGGGCCGAAAGCTCAACCGCGTCGTGGAACATCTGCCGACTGAACTCCTGACTCGACGGCGGGCGAGGATCGAGTGTGGGTAAGGGAAGCTACTCGGTGAGAGACAAATCAGGCATTGTAATGAGCTCCAGCGACCGTTCAGGCCAGTGAATATGTGCTGGCTGGACTGACCTTAGCTTTCAAGGAAGCTGTGCAGAGGTGAAAGTTACAAGAGATCTGCTGCGAGGTTCGCTGTCGTTGTGGCTGCAGGACCTCCGCAAATTCCCTCAGCACCATCTCCGAGAAAGGTGCACCCCCCATAGCGATCCGTGTTTCGCGGTTTCGATCTGCGTATTGACACGATTTAGCCTCATACCAATCTATCTTTGCTTTTGAAACCCAAGTCCCACCCCAAGAGTTACTAACCTAGAATGGCTTGATTGGCCCTATAAAGTCCCGGCAACCACAACACAGATGTAGAAACGGCAACATAAATAAGTGTTTTGAGATCATCTGATTGGCCTGAACACAACTGCTATATGCATTCCCATAAATCGAGAGGGTTTACCTGAGAATGTTGAGATACTCCGCTTCAGTGGATGCTGATTTCCCGAGTGAAGGTTCAAGCCCAGCAAACCTAATTTGTTTATAAGCGGACATCAGACACTTGATCAGATTCTCGTTGGCTCTTCCGAGATGGATGATGAACAAATTTCCTACCCTAGTAAAGGGATCAAGCCTAAGATGTCTTGCTGGAGGCGGTCTTCAATCTCAATTAAGTATTCATTCACTCGTGATATTGCCTGGCTCGATGGTCGGATCTCGGGATCGTGAGTCATGACTGATGAATACAAACATAGCAGTAGGATTTAGATCTCCATCAGCTATTTACTTCATTACGAAAAAAAAAATGAATCAATGGAAAGAACTTAAAGGGAAAAAAAACTCAACCCGCTTTGATGAATGAATCAAGTATCAGAGCATATGTTGAGTTTGTGTGGATTAGCTTGGCCACTGAGCTTCTTAAGGTATGTTTTGCCGGGTTCCTCAGCAAGAACATTTGGACACAGGTGACGACGAGAATAGCGAAGACCAGGCAAACCAAGTTCTTCCCAAGTCTGAGCGCGGGGGAGTCGAATGGGTGATGTTGGTTGACGTACTCGATGTAGATTAACGAACCAGCCGAGTTCATAGTAAGAAAAGGCATCACAAACAGGTGGGGTTTGGCATAGAGGATGTGTGACATCGGCAGCGATAAGAGCGTCAGCGCGGCCACCAGGCCGTAAGGGTTGTATCGGTAACCGCCAATGTCACTAAAAAGCTTTACCATGCTGAATCCATCACACAGATCAAGGATAGGTTAACTGGATTCTTTCATCATGGTAAATAACGATGTGAAGGAGGCAATCCAGAATGCGGGCACAGACTCACACTGTCCCATATACCGAACCAAAGCCTTGTCCAATCAACTGAGAAATGAAGGAGAGCCATGTCTGTCCCAAGGTAGGTGTGACGCCGACGGCGGCGGTAAGGATAGAGGCCGCAAGTCCGTACTCGAGGGCGAAACTTCTCGTCTTGTCCGCCCAAAACAGAGTACCAATAATCGTCAATGCGCAAGCCATCTTGAAGGCATATATGCTATTGGACGCTCTGAAGAACCGATCGATAGCATTCAAGCGTCTCATCAAACTCATGCCTCCCTTCGCCGATTGTCGACATGCTAACATGTCAAATGCCTGCTGATCTGTCTTCACTTTCGGATGATAAGTGTCTTCATCTTGGCCTGCTGTAGTCGCGCTCTCGTTGACCGATGGGAACTCGTCCAATTGAGTCGTCTGACGGAAAGCCTCGAGGGCGTGTATTTGGACTCGGCTCGGCCTCGTGGAATCCAGGTTGTTCCACTCGACAGCAAGTCTTCGGATCTTCATCAAATTGTGTAAAAAGTTCTTCATCGCAAATGAATAAGATGAAGCCCTGATTAAGGAGCGGTATAATTCGACACTGTCCAGTTCTTCCACCGATCCAAGGGTCGAGTCGTCCGTCCTCTCCTCACAAGAAGAATCGCAGGAGGGCTCCCGGTTGATGATCAGCGAGTCAGAAGACATGCCACTTCTTTCGTTGATCCTTGATCCTTCCTGACGGGTGGATCGGACGCTTGGGGTCTCAGAAGAGGGTTTGATCGAACTGCTGAAGGATAGCCGTGATCTTTCAGACTGCATCTCTTCTTTCTGATGGTGCTCAAAGTTTCCAAACAGCATAATCTCGTTGATCCGCCGATGTTGGATGCCTTGGAAAGCGTGCCAGTGGATCTGGATCAATTCACACACTGGATCATAGTAAGGTGTGGTTGATGGAGCGGGTGGAATGGTCGAGGTTTTTAGCTTTGGTCCATTGTTACTTGAATACATTCGGCCATCGGGTGTGTGTTCCGTTCTTTGGATGTGTGGCGAGTTTGCAGAGTAATTTTGACTTCTGGATCCTCCTTCAGTCATCTTGAACTCTGGTTCTCTAGAATGAGGGCTGAATAGTGGCACCTCTTCCCCATGGGCACGAGTCATCTCTAGGTTCTCGAGAAGATTGTTGTTGGCCATGGTTGAGACCAGCTCCTCTTCCAACCATTCGTATTGCTTTTGCTCCAACGTGGCTACCATCGGGCCTGTAGCCAGGGCTTTTTGTATTTCTGTAAGCGCAATGAAGACTTGCTTCCTCAACAATTGCATATCTCTCCACGAAGATAGTAGAAAATTTTCCTGAAAGGTACCCGAGCTGATTTGGTTCACTTGCATTAGACTCGAATGTGCCGTGACCAATGATCGGGTCATTGATATGGTCAACTGGAGCATTTTTCGGTAATCGGTGAGGGACCATTTTGAATAGTTGACCTCTAGGATGGTTTCTATCAGTTTGTTCTCCAATGCATTCAGCTCCCCTCGAATCGAGTCCACCAAATTATCTCTGATCAGTTTCTCGTCTTCAGTGATAACGAAGCGATAGGTTTTATCAATCAAATGGGCCAGAGTCTTGACGTGGTCGAGTGCATCAACAAGAGCGAGTCGAAATTCCTGAGTGCCATGAGTCCCTAGTCTTATGGTCAGTATTGGACTCAGGGAGCTGGCCGTCGGGAACACAGGGGGAGGATGCCCACCTTTTCAGCAGAATGGGGGAGGACCAGAATGTTTACGGAAAATGCGATTACAGCTCCCCAAGAATAAGATTGCAAATAGCTGAACATGTATCCTGGCGAGAACCCTCGATGGGAGGTCAAGAATGAAGTATAAATACCATTCCATGACATTAGAATGCATAGCACGGAGAATGGTAGGAGGTGCGGACTGAGTGCTTTGATACGACCCAAGACTATTGAAGAGAGAAGGTGTGCGGTCGGGAGTCAGCTCAACAGAAGAACTTGCGGCATCTTATATATTTCCTCCATTTTTAAAGCCAAAGCCAGTCTGGCACACGCACTGTAGACCATCAAGAAAAACACGATTGCCTGAACCGTCGGATGAGCGGATAAATGTGCCAACACGACAAAGTCCAAAGTGCCTAGTGCGATGCCCGCTAGACCGAGAGATACGCTGAGCATGCATGCGCCAATAGATTTGCCGGGGAAAGCTGGAATTCATCATATGGTAGCAATGGCCAGTCAGTCCTGTGTTGTGAGAGTGAGGCGGTAAGATATATCTAAAAAAAAGGCCATGAAGTGACTGACCAGCAATGCAGAAGAGGATGGCGCTACCGCCTGCGGTTGGGAATTGAAGAAGTCCTCGAAACGAATCTAGAAAGAATAAGATAAAACATAACACATAGGCCAAGCTACCTGATGATGGCCCATCGTCGCAGCGGTCAGATCAACTTAGGATTATCATATCATGCAGTCAAAAGGATTGGTGTCAGGCTGCTTTACCTTTGAATGCTGCTAGAGAAGTTGATGACCTGAATTTGGAGATTAGAGAGGCAGTGATATTGTGACCCATGATTAAGGTGTATTCTGGATTGGGTCGCTGAGCCTGAGCCGATGCTTATCTGTCTCCAGGAGCATTTATATAAGGAACAGGAGCCTTGATAGGGAGTGACAAATAAAAAATACCCATCATTCCGGGAAACATTTGCAAGCAGCGCTGACTCCCACCCGAGATCATGGTTGGCATTGCCTCCAAGGTAGCAGCGTGCAGAGAAGCTCTACAACATTTAAATGTTATGTTGAAAATTAAAGACTTAGTCCAAGTTACCATGCGTATGATGGATGTCTGGAGACTGGGTGCATGATTACACAACACGCCTCTCCAGCGATAGGCTGACACAATCGGTTGTGCTATGATGTAAAGCGATCCAGCTTGCGTGATGATGCCACTCTTTAATACCATTCTGAGAGCCGACGTAGATGGAACCTTCTCACAAAACAAATCATCAAAGCTCACCTACAAGGGGCAAAGTTACACATTGACAGTTGAGTTTCAAGCTAGAACAGTAAAAAAACAGCAGGGTGACTGAACTTCATGATCATGTCTTTCACAAAATAAATCACTTACCTTTGTTGCAAACTGCAAAATTAACATCAGTTATAAGACCTTTATTATCCAAAATCTCAGAATTGATGACTTTTTTGATTTTGAGCTGAATGGATTCAAAGAAAAAAAATCCAAGAGCAATCATATCTTGTTTCTAAGGATTTTATGATCCAATGATGTTAATTTTCAATTTTCATAAGAGCAAATACTTGCTCATTTTCAAATATGTTTTTCTTGCTGATGCAAAGTTTTATGATTGAACATTTTGGTATTGCACATTCTAATAGGATCTTTCCTGGAAACTTGAACACTTCCAGACCACATCCTGAGCAAATCTTGAATTTGAGTCATGTTTTGGTTCTGGTTCAAAAATCAGAAGTACATGAAACCCACATGGGCAAGGAAAGTAATTTTTGGTCAACTCCTGCACATCAATTCAAGACTCAGCCAAACCAACAGAACTTTTCTGAAATCTTGTTTGGGATGTAGCTTTGCTGAAAACACAATCCTAGAAGAAATTAGTCTGAAACAAATAGCCAGGAGCCTCTGAAGGCAAATGTACAGAAGTCTAAACTGAGTAACCACACTTGAATGCTGGGGAACAAGCTAGAAAAACTCTGCAATGTTACTAGTATCAGCAAGACTGTTGGTTGAGACTGGATCATCCATCATTTGGATGTGTCCAGGTAGAGCCACAGAGAAGACGTCCCTGAATTTAAATTCCAGGTGCAGGGCTCTGGAAGAGAAAACAGGCCACACAGTTGAGCATGATGCAATGTCTTTATTGTGACCAGCTTGGTGGACATCAAGACCTTGTCACCTTATCTGTCCAACCAGTTTTGTGGTTGGTCAACAGCTGAGAGGTACAGCTCAGATGTTATCTCTACCAGTCTGGATTTCCAATATGCTTGATGGCCACAGGCAACAGTGCAACAGAGACAATATGAGACGGTATCAGGCGTTTATTTGTATCAAATTAGAATTTGAATACCCAAAAATACCGGTTTGTGCTGTCTCACTTTCCTGAGACAGTACACACGTATTGTCTTTGGAAAGTCTCAGATGACTGATCCCACCAAAACCGTATTTGATACACAAGATATTTGGCTGTATTGAAGAAAAAAGAAAAAGAAAGACATTTTTTTCATTTGTAAATCCAAATCTGAGACAACTTTTTTTTTCACCAACCAAGAAAATACTGATACCGGTATCAGGCTCAAAATAAAGACAATACAATCTGATATGAATACTTGTCTTGTATCTGTTGCACCACTGCAACAGGGGTCTCAGTGACACCAGTAGTACTGTGAATTCTACTAGCCTGTGAGGTGAAAAGCACTTCAATAAAAGAGGGGAAATAGGCCTCCTTAAATCATTCAGAAAACCTATAAATATCTTAAATAGTTTAAATTCTGGTCAGATGGATCAAATATAATACATGCATGAGCTGAGTTCTGAGAGTGAAAAAAGTGAATGGATTGGACCAAATAATGCAAGATGATAAATTGTGAGTGGTTAGAAGTTTGATAAGCCCAAAGACAATGCAGACCAAGTTGAAAGGTTACTTGCAACAAGGTATTAGGGCCAAGTTTGGTTGCATCAAAACAAAGTCCATAGCGTAACTCAAAAAGGAAGTCAATGGTGGGGTGCACAATTGAAATTTATCAAATTTTCAAGCCCATTTCAAGCTGTTTATCAACCTTTTTTTTGAATTAAAAAGGTGCAGGGATTGATCAGAAACCCTGAATTTACCCACCCAACAATTTTTTTTGAAGTTTTGTTGATGAATGCCTTAAAATTGGCTTTAGAAATTTACAAATTTCAATCGTGAACCTCACCAATGGATGACTTCCCGTCAGATCTGGGTCCTCCCAGTTTTTGATTCAGAGCCAAAAAGTCTAGCTTTTCGAAGGGAAATCTAGCTTTTGAGGCTCTAAATTGAAACTGGGGGACCCACAGATTCTGACGGGAACTCCGCCAATAGCTCCTTCAATTTGGAAGTAATTAGGTGCGTGTAAATTTTCATCAAATAATTAGCTGCAGATGAGATTAGGGAAGTAATCCAAAAAATGCAATCACTGAGGGGTATATTACTGTGGAAATCAATCTCTCAGGGAAACTGATTAATAATTTAGTCATGAAGAGAAATTAGGTGCTACAGAGGGTTTAAAAAAAGACAAGCTATGGAAACTCGGTTAACAAATTAATGCCAGGGCCAATGGAACCTGCTGTGTCATTAGTTGCAAACTTAACACAAGTCAGCAACTGGAGTCCTCATAACATCCCCTTTTACTTGGAGTGGCGTTAATCTACCTTGCTACTGTCGTTTTGCGCCGAACACCTTAGGCCCTAGGGAGAGGCGGACGCGGTCCCCTTCATGACGGTCGCCCGCCCTGAAAAATGAGATGGAGTTGGTAAAGTGAGTGCGTGTGTGTATGTATGTGCTTTCCACTTGGGGCAAGCTATGGCAATACCAACAAAGGGCCGTATAAGTGTTGCTATGCATTACTCTCCGTTATGAATGAACAAGTTACACTCTTCATTATAGCGATATGAAATTGCGCTATCAGAATCCAACTGAATGCGCCAAAGTGATATATTAGGGTCAATGTCGGTCTCTGTTGACCGGCACACATGAACACGATTTCGTGCGGCGAGCGAGGAAAGCACAGTCTCGACCGACAGGCAATCGATTCCTCACTACCTTCGATACCTGTTAACCCGGCTGCCAGGAAGAACCTTCTCCAGCACACAGGGCAACAGAATATAAACCACGTGCCATGAGTGTTCGACCCCTAGCCGGCATCACATCCTATCATTAAATTGCCATGCAGCTCGAGGTAAGCTTTCCTCTTGTATGGAAGGTTGATAAATTTAGCACCCATGGAAACGACCCGTCGCCTCGTCTTGAAATTTAAATCTCATTCGTAGCTGTCGACGGATTGAAGGAGTCCCTATATAACTGAGCACGATTCATGGTGAAATTGCGGACTCGTTCCATCTTCCATCGAAATCAGTTTGGACACGTTTTTCTCCTCGTATCACTTTCTAATTATCATATTTTCCTTGAAAGTTGGATCCCCAGATAGTGCTTTCATTTGGCTAGTCCACCTGAATTATAAGACACCACTCTCAAGCTTCATATTTTGAGTCAATTGATTACTGCGTAATCTCCATTGCGATCGAATTTCCAGGATGATTTCCATCCAGCTCTTTGGGCTACTCTATCTATTGGGTGATTGGCATTCTGCAGATGCATCACACATTCCGTTCAAAGTTACTAGGTACGTATCATTTCTGATCATCCGTTAGAACTATACGTTAATCAAAGTCGTGGTTGTTACAGATTAGTTCCCCGTCGGTTTGGTCAAGAAGGTAAGGTCCCTGGAAATGGAAAACAGATCCAAGACTGCCCTCCCCAAATTTGTGGTACTCTTTGTAAGCCGAGCATGTCTGTCATCATGGTTTTATTGACCCGATTTTAGGGAATCAGAACTAAATTTCATCAACTCTTCGCAGTCGGCCAGATTCCAGGGTCTTTATTAGCAGCAGCAGAGCCGTGTGCTGCACAAAAGGTCGCCGATGATATAATCAACGCCGTCAAAGTGAGCCATATATGTCAGAAACAGCTTATTCATTTGGTGTATTAGTCAATACCGCAAGCAACCAGTCTGGTTTTTCTTATGTGGTCCTTCGACTGTTTCTAGAAAGATTCAAAAATTGATAATAAAGTCCGAGAGCAGATCATTGATGTCGCTAAAGCTGTAGCTGGGGTGAGTAGAAATTGAATTCCCCTCAACCATAGTTCTTTTCTTGAGCTAAAAAATATAAAACTGGATTAAACTTTTGAACTCCAAAACCAGGCGGAAAAAAATGTACCTCCGGATTTCACAAAACAACCACCATTGCTTCGACAAGCTCTTTACTGCCAAGAGGAGCCCAAAAATAAAGAACTCGAAGGGATAGTTATGAAACAAGATCCAGCAGCTCAAGGAGGGAAGGAGTTCTTCGACCCAAAAACCAAAACAACTGTGTTTTTGGGTGAAGACCCACGCACTTTGCCACGAGGAAACAAAAAAGCCGATACGACTAAGGAAAACAACCTGCAAGTGGATTCTCTACAAGAAAAGGAAAACAATGGTGGCGGCGGGAAAGGCGGTGGTGGCGGCGGGAACGGCGGTGGTGGTGGCGGGAACGGCGGTGGTGGCAATAACGGTGGTGGCGGGAATGGCGGTGGCGGGAATAATGGGGGTGGTGGCGGAGGTGCGGATGCAAAATCCGAAGAGGAAAGAAAGGTTCCTAAAAAGTCAGAAGCAGGTGATGAGAAACTGGGGATTTCCACAAAAAAACAGTTCGAGGCGGTTACGGGTGACACAGGCGGAAATGAAAAAGAGAAAGAAAAGCAAAACCAGGGTGGCGGTGGTGGAAATGGCGGTGGAAATGGTGGTGGAAATGGTGGTGGAAATGGTGGTGGGAAATGGTTGTGGAAATGGTGGTGGAAATGATGGTGGAAATGGTGGTGGAAATGATGGTGGAAATGGCTGGTAGGAACTGTGGTGGTGGTAATGCTGATGGGTTCAAATAGACCTGTTCCTAAAAGGGTTTGGAAGGGGTATTATTATTCCGGATTCTCTCAGGGACTGTAATAATCCAAGAATCAAATTTGGGTTTGGAATCAATGGTAGAAAAGCAGATGAAGGCACCTTTGTGCCTGAGAGTGATAAATTTACTCATGGAGAGGCAAAAAGTAAGTGCTTCCACTGTACTTGTCCTGAATTTAACATGTTTCACAAGCTGAGTACTGACTCTTCTTCTATTTTTTTTACCTTTGAAAGACTTGGCCATCATCACTGAATGTGAGTCTACATTTTCTTTGCTGGACTACACGTCATCAATTAGCAAACTGAATCTATGGACAATCATTAAAATTTTGGATATTAAGCTTCATGTGATAAGCTGCGTGCCTGTAAATTAGATCAGATAGAAGAAGTCTTTGGCAAGTGCAAGCAATTGGGCAAGGCAGTTGGGAAATCACTGGATCAAGGTATTGGTGCTGATAACTGGAACCTTGGGGTAAGCTGCTTGTCATCCATAAATTCCTGGTTCATTTTTGTTCCCTTGGCCTTTTGACTGATACCTTTGCTTTTGTTAAAAAAATCTGTCAATTTCAAAAAATGAACCTTTTCTTAATAAAGTTGTGAGTAATAATTCTCTGTATCAGGTTTTTCTCGCAAATAAGTTAAACACAACTGATTCTTTTTTAACAGTGGTTTTATCACAAACTTCAAAGATGCCAAGAAGGGAGGAAGCAATGAAAAGGGGCAAAAAAAGAAATAATTAGCTCCACAGGGACAGAAAAGCTAGCTAGACTTGAGCATTTGTCTTATCAAATCAAATTCCAGCTTGGTTGAACCACAAGGGTAGCTGAAATCTAAAATAAAGATTTGATATAATAATCAAATTCTCCAAAGACTTAGGAGTATATCAATAATAAATTTATATTCTACTCAAGATTCATTTGATATTAAGTAGGAAGTACTTCCCTTTTGTTTTAATGTAAAAAAAAATCTAATGACAATAACTGTTTTGAAAGAACCAAATCCATACATTGTAAAAAAAAAAATTCCTCAATTCATTTTTTTTTGAAATTTAGTCTATATCACATAATGAAAGACTTCAAATTTCAGATTCCATGACCAAGATTTAGAAAATCAAAGTAGGTGCTTCAGTTTTTTTTTTTTCACTTTTTGATAAATTGGATTTGATGGTAAGTGATCCATTGGACATACATGCTAGTAAGTAAAGAAAAATCAAAAACAATCAAAGCATCAAGGCTGAAAAAACACTGGGTTGCTATGCTAAACTGTGCTTTTTGGTCAGTTGCATGTCAGCTTAACTAGTTTTATGTTGTTCTGACATTGTAGATTTAGCAAACTGTTAGGCCCACTACACTAACCCTAAACTGTGTTACATCATTTTTAGCTGAAAAAGCCACTAATAAACAGTGTAGTGCTTGCCCAAAAACAGATAGAATTAACAGAAAACCACTACCAGCTACTAAGCTTTTGACTCCTGTTTAGTGGTTTTCTACTGCACTAAACTACAGCAAATTTCAAGTTAGAATAGCTTTCCTGACCCCCTGTTGGTTGAACCTTCAACAGCACTGGGCCGCTACGCTTTTTGCCCAAAAAGTGTTAGCGTAGCGGTCCTTTTTTGCGCGCCGGATTTGCGTAGTGTTAGCAAAAAGTTAGCAACTTTGTGCTACGCTACGCTGAGCTACGGGCCACTAAGAGCCTCTACACAGCCAAAACACTGCTAAAAAGCGCGTTAGCGCAGCGTAGAGGGCCCTTTTTATATCTGATAGTACAGAAGGGCAGAGCTTGCAACTCCACCATACCCTTCAGCATTCAGCAAAAGGGTTCTCACAACCACTTTTGAGTCTTACACCTCTAAAATGTGCTGTAGCGAACATTTTTTTTTTGAACAAAAGAAAGAAACAAAAGAGAAACAAAACCCCATCATGCCTTTCTTTGTCTTCTACTTATATTGGACAAAAACAAAAAAATGTGCAACATCCCAATCTGCTTACATAAATATCATACCCAAAGTCATAATAAAACAAAAAAAACACAAACAAAAAAAATAAGCAAACAAAGAAATTCTGATTAATTAATCGTAGAATAATAATCAGCAAGACCACCAAAAAAAGACTAGAGATATTGATCACTTAGCTCTTTTTTCACACTTGTACACATAGACGCAAATCATTTCCTTTCTCTCAGTTTCACAAGATATATGAACAGTCAAATCAGCATCAGATGGGATAAAAGATGGTTGCTTGGAGTTTAAGATGAGCAGGTAGCAGCAGAGGAGGAGAAAGGTTGATGAGTGTCAGCCTGTCAGGGGTGATAAGCTGGCTTGTGTCAGTATTGTTATAATTGGACGTGGAGCACATTAGTGTTGTTCCTGAGGTAGATGGTGTTGATGCTGCTGTTAGTCTTGTGATTGATCCTGCTGATGCTGTTTTGATGCCAATGTTGTTGCTGCTAATACTGTTGACAATCAACTAAATGATAATTAGATCTCCAATCGGTTAGACTAGGCCTCAGCAAGTTTTTGGTTTTCTTCCTACATTTTTTTGGGTTGAGTAGCAAAGCCTGGTATTATCAACACTGGGCCGCTGTGCCACACTTTTTGCCCTAAAAGTGTTGGCGGAGCGGGTTTTTTTGTGCAACAAAATGCTGTAGTGTTAGCCAAAATTTAGCGGTTTTTTGCTACACTACGCTGCACTACGGGCCACTTATAAAATTGCAAAAAAGCATAAAAATTAGGTAAAAAAATTAATGCAAACATTTGAGTGAAAAAGTGAAGAATTAAGTAAAAAAAACGGTGTCAATTGCAGTATTCAAGATGTAGTTTTCACTTTGATGCAAAATGATTGTGACCAGAAAATTTGCATGTCTTAAAGTGTAGGAAGAAAATTTGAAATGTCAAAAAAGAATGAAAATTAACCTGTAGAAATTCAAGTGAAAAAATGTGTCTAATTTCAGTATTCAAAATGAACTGTTGAGTTTTAAAAAAATTGGATTACACCATTAAATTCTACACACATTGAAACCTAGGAAATAAATGTAAAATTACAAAAACACTTGAAAAATAAGGTAAGAAAAGTAATGCATACAATTAGTGGAAAAAATGAGTGGAAAAAAAAGGGCATTAATAAAAAAACACGGTTTTTTCGCGTTTACACGCGGTTTTGCTGCGGCACAGCGCACGCGGTTTCCGTGTTTAAACACGGTTTTGTATATAATTTTTTACCGCTTGTTTTTCGAGTTTTTTTGAATTTTTAAAGCTGTTTCCTACACTTTAAAAGGTGTAGAATTTAATGGTAAAAACCATTTTCCATAAAAATGAATTTTGATTATTAATTATTTTTTTTTTTTCACTCATTTCTCAATTAATTGTTTGCATACATGTATGTACCTTATTTTTTATGTTTTTTTAAAATTTTAAAATTATTTCCTAGGTTTTAATATGCTTAGAATTTAATGGCGCAATCCAATTTTTTTAAAACTTAACGGTTCACTTTTAATACTCAAATTACACCCATTTTTCTACTTAAATTTTTAGAGCTTAATTATCATTCTTTTTTGACATTTCAAATTTATTTCCCACACTTTAAGACATGTTCAAAATGATGGTAACAATCATTTTGCATAAAAACAAAAGATTGTTAATGAATACTGCATTGGACAGGTTTTTTTTAATGTTTTTTGAATTAATTTTTACTGGCTTAATTTCAATCATTTTTTGGAATTTTAAATTGATTTCCAACATTTAAAAATGTTGAGAATTGAATGGTGAAGTCCAATTTTCAGAAAAATTGAAGCTTCAATCCTAATAGAAGAGTGTACCCCGTTTCTTGCATAATTTGTACTGTATAAAAATTTTATTTGAATGCAAAATGGATACAGCCATCAATTTTGAAACCTTTCAAAGTGTAGGAAAAGAGCTTAAAATTTCACAAAATAAGGATCATTAAGCGTGTAAGAATTAATTAAGGAAAAGTGTTCAATGCAGTATTCAAGATATAGTTTTTATTTTTATGCAAAACTATTGTTACCATCACTTTTAAAATGTCTCAAAGTGTGGGAAATGAATTTAAAATGTCAAAAAATAATGAAAATCAAGCTCTTAAAATTCAATTGAATTTTAAGACCAATTACAGTATTCAGAATGAACTGTTGATTTTTATGGAAATTGAATGTTAATATTAAATTCTAAACACTTTGAAATGTAGGAAACAACTTTAAAATTTCAAAAAAGCATAAAATATAAGGTAAAAAAACTAATGCAAACAATTGAGTGAAAAAGTGAAGAATTAAATAAACAAAACGGTGTCAAATGCAGTATACAAGATGTAGTTCTCATTTTGGTGAAAAATAATTTTTACCATAAATTTATACATGTCTCAAAGTGTAGGAAAAAAATTTAAAATGTCAAAAAAGAATGAAAATTAAGCTCTAAAAATTTAAGTGAAAAAATGGGTGTAATTTGAGTATTAAAAGTGAACCGTTGAGTTTAAAAAAAATTGGATTGCGCCATTAAATTCTACACATATTAAAACCTAGGAAATGAATTTAAAGTTTCAAAAAAACATAAAAAATAAGGTACATACATGTATGCAAACAATTAATTTAGAAATGAGTGAAAAAAAATAATTAATAATCAAAATTCATTTTTATGGAAAATGGTTTTTACCATTAAATTCTAGACCTTTTAAAGTGTAGGAAACAAGTTTAAAAATTCAAAAAAACTCAAAAAATAAGTGGTAAAAAATTAAATAAAAAAGGGCCTTAATAAAAAAACCCGCATTTTCCGCGTTTTGACGCGGTTTCTGCTGCGCGCAGCACACGCGCATTCCGCGTTTAAACCCGCTTTTTTAATTAATTTTTTTTGCTGTTAATTTTAATTTTTTTTAATTTTTTAAAATTGTTTCCTACACTAAAAAACGTGTAGAATTTAATGGTAAAGTCCATTTTGCATAAAAATGACTTTTAATTCTTAATTTTTTTTCCACTCATTTTTCAATTAATTGTTTGCATGCATGTATGTACTTTATTTTTTATGTTTTTTTGAGATTTTAAAATTGTTTCCTAGGTTTTAAAACATGCAGAATTTAATGGCGCAATTCAAATTTTCTAAAACTCAACTCTTCACTTTGAATACTGAAATTAGACACTTTTTTCACTTAAATGTTTACAGCTTAATTTTCATTCTTTTTTGACTTTTTAAATTTGTTTCCCACACTTTTAGACATGATTGAAATGATGGTAACAATCATTTTGCATAAAAACCAAAGAATGTTATTGAATACTGCGTTGGACATGTTTTTTTTAATGTTTTGTTAATTGCTTTTTACCGGCTGGTTTTTAATCATTTTTTGAAATTTTAAATTTATTTGCTACATTTAAAAATGTGTGGAATTGAATGGTGAAGTCCAATTTCCCTAAAAATACAAGCTTCAATCTTAATACATGAGTTTACGGTGTTTCTTGCATAATTTGTCCCGTATACAAATATTATGTGAATGCACAATGGATACAGCCAACAATTTCAAAACCTTTCAAAGTGTAGGAAATGAACTTGAAATTCCAAAAAATCCAAGTTTATTAAATTCTGTGATTTGTACAAAAAAAAATCAATAGTTTCCCCCTTGAACAAAACATAAGCAACACAGTGTGAGGTTTCCCCATAATCAATCGACCATCAACCTCTTCCCTTTCTAGACCATACAGACAACATAGCCCCCCAACCCCAGCATAGCCAGAGCACTTGGGCTCAGTGTCCATCCAATGTCAAAGCAAAGGTCAAAAACACTGGACATGAAAGCCCCCAGGCGCATCAATTGAAGCAACCAAGTGGGGGGCTAGCGTTTTAACATCCAAGCTGTACAAGTGTAACAGCGGGATGTGGAACTTGAAGGAGATGCTTAATCTGCAACCCTTGCAGCTCACCAAGACTCAACAAGCCCCCTTTTATATACACCCCACTCTAAATTTTACCTGGTCCTGATAGCCCTCAATCCCAAGCACCTTAAACCCTTCATTGTATCCAGCCTAGCCAAAGCCACACATACTGAACAATATGCCCCCTTACTCCACAATACCACAGCGACCCGACCCCACAAACGAACCCCGCCTCACCCCAAACCCCCTACATACTTGACTCCCCGACACCACCTTAATAATAGGGCCAGCCTGTCGCTACTTCTACGCCCGCCGTAGCCTCATCGCAGATACTTCCTGTCACCTTGTTACGAAACCAATCAACTGCACCACTGGCTGAGCCTACCGCTATTCATCACCCAGCCCCGCCAATTCATCATCATCTCGCAAACTCCAGATCGCAACGCACGACCACCCTGCCAACAACAACACAGACCCCTCTTCGAACTTATTTTCTAATGCAAATTCCACCCATCTACCAGCAAAGTCAACAATTTATACAACCTCCAGGCCAGTCAACAAAGTCGCGACCACGTAACCAACAACTGGAAAACCTTGGCGCAAGCAATAATCAAGCGGGACATCAGTTCAACCTACACGCCCCTTCAACCCCCTCCCGAAGCAACTTCCACGCTCCGCTATTTAACCGACCACACAATCCCTCGCCTCTTCCAACCTCATCCTCCTACACAAACTCACCAATACGCCCCCCTCCTCGCAAAGTACAGGATATACTTCCGTAACCACCGCCTCAACCTCCAGTCTTTCCCAAGGATCTACCATTCCATACTCATCATACTCGACTATACCGACACAAGTCTCCTCTCCACACCTCAAAATCCCCATTATGTCAGTTGTACGTGCCCCCAACCATCCCGCAACTTTCAATGGTCATTTTCAACCTATATCCGATGTGAGTACAACTCTTTTCCGCTATGCCTACCCCCGCTGATCCATTGTCTTAGTCCATTGCCGAATCTGTCCGTGCAAATCAGTACGGTTATGTCAAAACGCCGAGCTTTTTCCAATGTGGTGGCATCAATTCCGAGAAGAATGAAGACTTTGAGGTCGAGCTTGTCACAAACACTGCACTCAACAACGTACTAACGGCCGATTCAATTTTCGCCTTAAGTGGCAAACTCATCGCGCTGAATGATGGTTCCCCCCCAAGCCTCTCATACTTCCAAGATAGCGTGGTGCGTGTGGGTCCAACTGGTGAGGATCAGCCTGACTTCACAAACAAAACCATCGTGACAAGCCTTGGTATGGTTATATCCCGTCGGGAGGTCGCATCAACTGCTTCAGACTCCGGCAGTCAACTCGAAGTCATCGTTGCACATTGCGATTGGGACGGACAAGTCAGCTTATTTCTATCACTACAAAATAATCATCTTACTTAACACTCGACTATTTCAGGAGCGAGTTCACAGGCGATTTAACATCAAATACATCGTTCCTGGGACAAAAAACCTCGTTAAGACACATACACTCTACCAAGTGGGCCGTGAGATCAATATCATCGGGCGATTAGTCGACTTCCACATGGAAGACCATATGGCCGTTGTAGTTGTAAGTTACCGTTCAACCAAGGCACCTCCTCAATTACTCATTCTTCGAATGACTTTACAGGTATCATCAGTCTCCGTCACCTCTGGACACCAGATTGGCCGGACCAACCCCAGCAACCCAACACCGTTGAATTCATCCCCTTTGCAAGGAAGGAAATTGTATGTCATAGTATATCTTATCATGTTATCATCACCTCAGCTAACCTGGAAATCCTTCAAGTACTAAATTTTTGCCCAAGAGCAATCCCTCAAGTGGTCCCTCCAGTGCACCAGCTCCCAAACCGAACGTACCAGTGCAGACCCCCCATGGGTCTTCATCGAGTGCCCAGCGGGGCCCGACACCCAATCAAGTGACAAAAGGAAAGTCGAAGGCAACCTCTGAGTATGAGACTGAGGGTGAGGAATTGTCAAACAACAATGAAACTGATGACAGTGATGCAGAACTTCCAAGTAACACAACACCGCAAACAAAGTGTGGGCGTCCGCGCAAGAATATTGTTAAAGAGGCCGCAAAAAGGATGAGGAAGAACTGAAGTCTTGCTCGCTTTGACGCTTTGTCCCTTTCTTACCATAACGTCCCCATTCATCAACCTCTCCCCCTCTCCTTGCTATCTCAACTCGCACCTTCAACATCATGTAAAAATCATCATTCTAGATTTCGCATAGACTTACCATTTTGTTTTCAATATTATGTTCCCTTTACTACATCTCACCCAATTTTTCCTATGCTGTAAATAGTGTAATCATTTGTAACGTTGCCTTCACCAACATGATCGAACCCCCACATCGGATCAAAGGTCGTAGACCTTACTTGAATGATGATCTACTTGATGTAGCCATTCCTACCCTTGTAGCCCAAAGGGATGACATTACGTTTGGAGTCAATTGCCGTATAATTTCTACTTGTTTGACCCGACCTTATCGGCCAAAGGCCTACTGGTTTATCCAGAGTATCACAATTCACCCAGGCCAAACAAAACACAAGCAAAAATATGAGCCTCATTCTAAGCCTGGCACTAATCAAAGATTGTATCTCCCAATTCTTTGTCAAGAGGTGGGATTTTTGCCTCATTCGAACATGCACTAAATGGCGAGCGCGTTCTTGATGCATATGTGTCATTGATTACATAATAATAGGGATTTTGGACCCAAACTTTTACTAATTGACCCCTTGCCAGTGTCTCAATCTAGAAGTTAAAGCTGATAGCTAAATACTCCTTTCGAACCCACAATAGACGATCGGGCCAAGGAGCGATTACTTCCAATTCGACCAGCTCACTAGCGTTCTGGTTCAGGTTCGCCTTCGAGGATTAGTACCGCATGAGGCTCGTCTCGATCTCTTCATACCAAATCCCCGACCGATTACGCGAGAAGTACATTGCAAGTAGCCTCCTCGAAAAACTCCCAACACAAAACAATCTGACAATCCTATCCGAGCCGATTGACTGACTGAAACTGTCAGTCCTGTTTAGTCTAAACATTGCCACTCTTCATGCCATTCACTCGCGCGATCATTCCCTACTGACAGTCTCCTTTTGCGATTGCCCTCATATTCGCCAGTGTCTTATCATTGCTACCGACTCGACCCATTCACATTGGCCTTTGTCGCTTGACAATCCACCCCATAAGCAAACCGACCGAACGTTTAGGGACATCGGTTCCATTCGATATTTCGATATCTTTATATTGAATCCGCAACTCGTTACCCGATAAGTCATCTGTAGAACTACCCTCCTCGAAAAACTCCCAATTGGAAACGATTTAACATTTCTATCAGAGCCGACTGACGAACTGAAACTGTCAGTCCTGTTTAGTCTAAACATTCCAACTGATCATACCATCCACTTCCGAATCATTCCCTACTGACATTCTCTCTTTGCGATCGCCCTCATATCCGTCACTGTCTTATAATTGCTACCGACTCTACCCATTCATATAGGCCTTTGCCGGTCGACAATCAACGTCATAAGCATTCCGATCGGACGTTTAGGGACATCCGTTCGATTTCATAGCAACGATTTGGACCATTTAGCAATCGTTGGACCGTGAGTTCTCACATATTCGATAAGCAGACTCTTTACCGGAAAAACACTTACAATAAGTCACTGTACCCGCTTACAGCTTTGTATAAAGGAGAATAATATTTGACAATTGCGGATCAGCAGATCAATTCGATTCAAACGACTGTAGTCATTAATTAATCGTTGGCCTGCGAGACTCTCTGTACGTTAATTGTCGACAGTCGTCACTACTTTAATCCCAAACTTCATCTATGTAGGGTCAAACTCATCCCGATCCTGATAACCATTCAGGCGATTAATGCACTTCTCCATCATTCTCATACAAAAACATAAACATTGACTCTTCCCTTTCCTACATCGACCAACGACAATCGCCCTCAACGGGCAGCTCTACCCTTTCAGCAATTGTTGTGACCTTATTTAAACAAGATATAACCCAAACGGAGAATCCAACGGTTTCACCCTTCGCCAACTCAAACCCGACCTCATCCCAATCAATTCACCCAGTACACGATAAACTCTTTCGTCCAATTCACCGAGCCAACAAGCGACAACCATAGTTGTCATTTCTGATTGAGTGTGATAGTAGAATACTTTTCGCGCCTTGACGTCATGACATCTGTCCGCAAGGCCTATTTGGCAGAAAGGAAAAGGAAGAATCGGTCAAAGAAGCATGCAGAGGAGCGAATGAGCGAATTCTCTTTGACTATCGATGATACGGAACAAAGAAAAAGTGCAACACAAGCGTCTGGTACAACACGTCATCTCGACAAGCAACTGGAGAGGGAGCTTCAGACTGACTCAAAAGAAACAAATGAAGACAATATCACCTGGTCTTCGAGACGGTATACCAAGCTCGAACTGTTTCCGTACATGCTAGGCTCAAATCCCGATCGCCCACCAACAAGTGGGGAGTTTGACGAATGCAGGAAGCTCATAAATGGATTCAAACTTTTCAATTATGGGAAAGTTGTAATTCACGACAAGAAAGATCGAGCCAAGATTATCGCCGTTATGGAGTTCACCCCATTTGAAGAACTGACGCCTTCTGACTTCACCAACATCAACTACGTCACACGATTCCTGCACTCGGCGAAACAATTTGTGAATGCGGTTGGATCTGAATCGAGGTCTTGGGGAGGCAAAATGTTTGCAATAGGTTGGAGGAAGGCTATGGTTGGATTTCAACTAATTGGCCTTTACCGCAATAAAGCTGCAGTCGATCGGTCCCCTCAAGCATACAATTCCTTGATGAAAAGATCCGAGAGGGCTTCAAGTATTCTTGGCAAATTGTTTTGACGATTGGCAAATGTCGCTTTTGCTGACAATCAGGAAATTATGAATGCGAACTCCATACCGTCCATTGGACAGCCGGACTTTGGTATTCCACTAGGACAGGACGACTGTGCACCCAATCTAACCTTCACAACGGATGGTTTTTTCAATCCTCCACACTGTGATACTGAAGATTTGTCCGAATTTGCCTTTGGCTTATTCACTCCAGTCAATAAAAGCGATTGGTCCCTTCCGGATACGGTTTCGGCATCTCCTACACCAGGACGTGCCTTTGTTTTTCCCGACTACCGATGTGGAATTGACTTATCAAAAAATAATGGAGTTGTTAAACTTGTGTGGCGGGCGAAGGAGGTTCGACATTGCACCTTATACTCACCAAACCCATCTCCCTACAACGACCTTGGTATGTCACTCCAAATAAACAAAAAGACGGCAAAGACTTCCCACGACATTACTTCAGGCGCCATCTTCAATAGACCGGCGTATAAGGATAAACCGAAAGACAAGCTTTATATTGGTAATGTTGAACATTATGTTAAAGGACTACTTTGAAATCATATTATCCAGCACTTCAAGCTTCAGTAGAACGATTATGTCCTCATTTTGTTTCCTCAATCAAGAAGCTGTACATAATATATATAATACGTCGCCCTCGAGAGTCTTCTAATCTCTCAAGTTTTTAATTGCCAACTCGACGGTATGATAATATTAATCAGATGTCATTCTCTCACTATTCTTTGTTCCTGACAGCTTCGAGTCAACAATTGGAACATGATTTGCATGTTTTAATTTGCCCAATACGCAATGTTTTTCTTGCAACTTGAATAGAATGTTATTCAGAAATCGTTCACACATGAATGAGTAACCTGATGGGAGCTACTCGGCTGGGTGTCTACGGTAATAAAAGCTATGGATGACAGATAATTAGCGGTGTTGTATTCATCCACTAATTTGACCAACCAAGGAAAACTGAGTAAGCAGGAGGGTCGGAATAGCCACAGGTACATCCGGTTTATTCTCATAGACTTGGGTTGTCAGCCTGCTACTATTCAGAGACAACCTGACCATAAGCATAATAAATATTTAGAGACATTATTACATATACTACCCCCCATAACATATGTAATTAAATGTCTATTTTATATGTACATAATATAGAGACATTATTACATATGTACATATGAAAACATTAATATTTAATTAAGTGGAATCACTATAATAGAGACATTATTACTCATTACATTAAGTTTTACTAGTCATGAAAGAAAACATAAAAATAAACCAAAAACATTTATAAATAAACATTTTTAACATGAATCTACAAATAACTTCTAAACCTTAAGCAAAAGTTAGAATATTATTTCAGATTCTTAATTCTCATGCAAAATAACCTAGGGTACCTCACCAGAATTACCCCTGAATTATTACTCCTTCAGGTACTTCTGTGTACTCTGAGTGACACTTGCTCATTTTGCTAAAAAACCCTCCCAGTTACATCATACTACATGTTGTGACAGGTCTACATATGTAATTAAGGTTCATGCAGTTCGGGAAAAATCTAAAAATAAGATTGACATCATTGAAACCTTAACTACATTGTCACAACAACTGTAACTGGCTGGTCAAAAGCCATTTGTGGCCCTTTTTGGCCCAATTTGGCTAACTACGCCTGGTTAAGACCAGCCCACTGGTCATTAAAGGGTCCCATTGACCAAACCATGGCTGCAGGCTCGTCACAGCACCCCTTAGTGAGTGTTACAAGCCTCACTTCAGCCCTCTGCCACCTGTAACCAAGGACTACAGGTGTCTAGGCAGTGCTACAGGTCACCAATGCCTAGTAGGAGGCTTGCACCAGCCAAACAGAGTTCTGAGTTCGCCTCCAAGGGCCCAGAATGAGTATATAAGGAGCCCTTCTTAACCACGAACTCAAATTCCCCATCTTCATCACCATTTACCAGCAATAACCACCTCCAACAACCAGTTTTTCACCTGTTTTTGGCCCAGTTCCTGCTGTTTCTGTCTTGGATATCACCAACCCAACCATCAACTGTTCCCCAGCACTCTTCCAACACCTGTTACCCAGTTTTCTGAGCGCTCCCAGATCAGTTTTCACCCACCTGAAGTCCCCTTGGCTTGGAAATAGTACTAAGTAGGTAATATTTCCTTGATACTTCAGTTGTAGGCATTTTGTCTGGGCATACTCCTTTACACAAAGGACCAGATCATCAGGTACATCAAAAATACCCCTGTTTAACAGGTCCTGATTCATTGGAGGGCACCATAAAAACCCCTGTAACTCAGGCCCCTCCCTTTATAAAAACTTAATAGTTTTTATTTCTTCTTTTCTTAATATCAAAAAACTCCCCTTTCCAAGTGTTACCCACACTTGTACATGCCATTTTCTTAGTTTGCACCTGGTGTAGCTAGAAGAGACCAGCTCTTGGCATCACCCAGGCTGACATGGGTCTTGCCTAGGCAATGGGCAAGCGATCTGGACCGGTTCCCAAGGGTTTGAGGAGGCAACATGCAACGCGGCGTGACCAAGTCAGCGGTCACCAATAGCTGCCTAGCCAAGTTCCGATAACATCTAATTTCACACACCTATATAACACAAGGTCTGAGATTTCTAATTATTTCTCGCATCCACAACATAAAGAATTTCCTACCGGCTGATTACAATCCCAAACCTCAATTTATCTTGATGGCAGCCAACCCTTCTTACCTAAATCCAATACTTAAATGCTCAGATGAGATTGGACCTCTTATCTTTTCCGGGGTCTGTAAACTTCAAGCAAAGGTGAGACCATCTAACTATATTTTGAAGTCCTACTAATATCATTCTTGAATTGGCAGGAAAAATCATTCGACTTTGACAAAGGGGAATGTGTTATATACTTGATCCAGATGGACACCGATTCAACACCAAAGAAAGACATTGACCGCGTATACGGAGATGGCAAAAATTGTATCCAAACAATCGTTGCACCTTGTCTAGACGATTTAGGTCGGAACTTAACATTAGGATTGGTATATAAGGTGAAAGGCGAGATCGTAAGGGATGATACCTGTGGTACAAGTTGGGAGTTTAACCCATTGCTTTCCGAATTGTTGACGGGATCTGAACACTTCAGGGTATCAGGTGTTGGTCGAGTCGTGAATGTCACGTTAGCCTCACCTATAATGGAAGGTCAACATCTGCATGATCAAGTTTTGGTTAATCATCAGCCATCAGTAAGTCGACGGCCTACATTTTGTTATTAAGACTAACATTTTTAAATAGGGACTTGCCTCTCTGATCCAGATCCACTTAATTATACGTAAACATGACTCTCATTCCATTAATCTCCATGGAATTCATATTGGATCAACAATTGGGTTTTCTGGAACTTTCATTGGCAAGGAGATTGAATCTTCAATCATCAGACTTCTTGTATGTTTAGTCATTTCAGTAGCATCAGGTGTTAAGCTCACATTTTATTTCTTGTGTAGATTCAAACGAGTTTATGTGAAGTGACTATTACCTGAAGTTGATTGGGAAATTAATTCAACAATTTAGTGGCTTATTCTTGTTATTTGTCTGGCTTACCAATTATCACAAATTCAATTGCCCTATTTGAATTGCAGAGGCAACAACTCAACATTTGTCATGCGGCTACCCCGTGGGGATGAATTTTCACTTATCATCTTCGTTGAGCCTAAGGAGAGCAATTAAAATTACTTAAGCACATCCGTTGCAAACATTCATCATGATTCAATCAAAAGCAAAGATAACAAACAGTACATCCCCCGATTTTGAATCAACGTTACACCAGAATTCAGACTTCTCAATCCCTTACAAGCTCGGAAGATGCGACAAGCCCTGTGATTCATGCGGAGCACTCCATTGGCACGACGAGGCAACACTTCTTGACCGGGGCAAAATGACTAAATCCTATTCGACTTGCTGCCAAAAGAACAAGGTGACCTTACCCGATTTTGAAGAAACAGCTCCGAGGTATCCATCAATTCTGCGAAAGTTATTAACTGGAACCTCAGAAGGTACGACTCATCCTTGTCCTCAAGATGCCAACTAATGATGCTGTTCTCAACAGATGACATCAATTTTCAACAATCAACGAGAATGTATAACAACGCTATATCTTTCACGTCTCTTGGTGCGAAACTTGACCATTCGGTTCAAGGCCCGATGGGTGTTAACATATTCAAGATCTCGGGGGCCCTTTCGCACAGAATTTCGAGCTTGGAACCAACAAATGACACGCCTGGATTTTCACAAATATACGTCGTGGGTGATAACGGACTCGGAGAAGCTGAGTATAGATTGAATTGCGCTCTTGGTCGAAGTAAAGAAAATATGAAGAAATCAAAAATGAAAAAGGGTACAATTTTGATGCTCGTTCACTTGATGGGGGAAATCAATCCATACGCAAAACGTTTCCGGACTGCACTAGAAGTCCTTTCAAAGTCGAACGCTCAAACTATCAGCTTGTCCGGTGTACCAAGGGCGGGAGTCGATCCAAAGCGGTACAACTGTCCCACTGTCGATGAAGTTGCAATCGTAGTCCGAGGCAATGGTGACATTATCGGCGAGCGCCAAATTGTTCTCCATCGAAAAGATGATTATTTGGAGGAAATTTCGGATATGCATTCCTCCTATTTTCCCCTCCGTTATCCAATCTTTTTCCCTTATGGTCAGCAACAATGGGATAATTTATATAGTGCTTGGACTGGACGTGGTACGTATTTGATGAAACTTAATACATATATAATCTCCCTGTGTTCCCAGATTGACAAATAGTTGGTGTTCTGACGTTGTACGGTTGCAGTTAAGGACAGGAAGGTTGGGCTCACTTGAGTGGTTTGCATATTTTATTGTTCAGGCGTCGGAAGAGGTTCTCGCCCATCCTAGCCGGTCGTTCCCTAACACAAGAATTACTCGTTGATATGTATGTTTGCGTTGAACGAGGACGACTATCCTATGTGACAAGAAATCAAGGCAAGCTCAAGGCGGCAAGCTATAAGAAGTTGGTCGATTCCCTGGAAAACCAGTCTCCGACAACTGGCAGATGTGTCATCCTACCTTCATCCTTCATCAGAAGTCCTCGTTGCATGCAGCAATTATATCACGATGCGATGGCGATCTGCAGAAAATTCGGAGCACCGTCACTCTTCATAACGATGACTGCAAACCCTAAGTGGGAGGAGATAGTCAATGAGCTTCCCCCCGGAGAAAAAGCCTCCGACCACCCGACAATTGTCGCCCGAGTCTTCTTCTTAAAAATGAATGAATTGATACGTCAAGTGGTAAAGTTGGAGCGGTTTGGAAAAGTCTTAGCATACGTTTATACTGTCGAATTCCAGAAAAGAGGTTTGCCTCACCTTCACTTGATGGTTACGCTTGACGAGAAAGATCGCCCAGTCACACCCGAGGATATAGATACCATTGTTTGTGCGGAACTTCCAGACCCTAAGAAATCACCTAAACTGCATGGACTCGTCTCTGAATTCATGCTACACGGTCCTTGTAAGGGTCGCCCATGCTGGAATGGTAA